GTACTTAGAAGGCTGAGGCAGGAGGATTGCAAATTCAAGGCCAGCCTGGCTACATGGTGAGACCCTGTCTCTAAAGATAAAACAAAAGAACAAAGTTACTTACATGATGACCACTTTTGAGGAAGTGCCAGAATGTTTTCCCAGTGCTGCACTATTTTACATTGCTGCCAGCAGGGGACAGGGTTCTGATTTCTCCAATCCTTGCCAACATTTTGCTTTACAATTTTATTTTGAAAAAAAATACTGAGTAAATACTGCTGCCTGTGTGATATGCCTTTGTGGAAAGACGCTGCAGGCTCTCTGGTGGGGTGCCAGCACCATTCGGGAGAGAGTTCAGAGGAATATCTATCTGGTGCAATGATGGTGCAGAGCAGGGAATGCTGGGAAAAGCTGCAGAGGTCAGTGCCTCCCTTCAGTGTGGTCAGGGCTGGGTCAAAGATCAGACTGTTGTTAACAAACAGAGACAAATGTTTTCTTGCCAGCATTTTGTAAAGATTATGTCCATCCTAGGAGTACTAGCACTATCTCCTTGTGATTGTGATTTACATGTGCATGTTGCTAGTGATTCTGATTCATTTCCAGTTAGTTTGTGTGAAGTACATTAAGTGTGAGGTTTGGTTTTTGGTTTTTGTCTGTGGATGTCAGTTGCTCCAGCACCACTTGTTGAAAAGATGCTGTCCTTTGTCAGAGGTCAGTTGAGTATGGTTGGGTGAGTGTACTTTGGGTTTTCTCACCTGTTCCCTTGAGCTCTGTCTGTTTCCTGCCAACACCACACAGTCCAAGTCCTAAGTCTGCATAACAATTCTTGAAATCAGGTAGACTGATTATTCCTCTTTTCTCCTTTTCAAAACTGCTTTGGGTGTTCCAGTTCCTTGGTTTTCCAGAAAATTTCAGAATGATTTTGCTAGGATTTTGATGGGAAGTTGCCTTCAGCCCATATATCAGTTTGAGAAGAATTGACATCTTCACCACGTTGAATCTTCTTGTCCATGAACATGATTTCTGTATTAGATCTTCTGTGATTTATTTCTTCACAAGTTTGTCGTTTTCAGCATTATACATCATAGATACGTTTTATTAGACTTATACCTCTTTAATTTTTAATCAAGGTTAGGGACTATTTTCTGAAAGCATTTTGTCAAATGATTTTTCTGTATCAGTTGATAGGATTATGTAATTTTTTCCTTAAGTCTGTTGATATAATAGATAACAGATTGATTTTCACATAGAGAACCAGTGTTGCATCATTGGAGTACATTATCCTATTTGTCATGGTATATAGTTCCTTTTTTTTATTATTCATTTCCATTTGCTAATAGTTTAAGATTTTTCATGATTTTGAGGGATATTGGTCTGTAGTTTTTGTATTGCTTTTGTATCAGAATAGCTGATCATAAAATAAGCTGGGAAAATTTTCCTGCTTTATTTTCCTGAAGCGATTGTATAAAATGTGTTCATTCTTTAGATGTTTGGTACAATTCTCTAGGGAAATTATCTGTGCTTGAAGACTTCTATTTGGGTAGTTTTAAATCATGTATTGAGGGCCGGGGATGTAGCTCAATAGTAAAGCAATGCCTGGGCCTCTGGTTCCATGCATGCATAGCACTGCCAAAAAGTAAAAATGAATTCATTTTCCTTAATAGTTATAGTGCTTGTCAGATTGTGGGGTCCTGTCCATTCCTGGTACTCAGAATTTATGTCACTTTTGTCAGTCTTTCTGGAGATTTGTCAGCATTTATTCTGTTTTATTTATTTATTGCAGTTCTGAGGTTTGAACACAGGGTCTCATGCTTACTAGGTAGGTGTGTACCACTTGAGCCACTCTGACAGCTCTATATTTTTAATCTTTTAATGAACTAGATCTTTCTTTTTTTTTCTATTCTTCAACTTTAATTTCACTGATTTTTGTTCATTTTTTTTCCTACATGCTTTGAGTTTGTTTCTTGCTCTCACTCTCACTCTTGCTCATACTGGAATTTGAACTCAGGGCCTCCCCCTTCCTAGGCAGGCACTGTACGACTCGAGCCATGTCCCCAGCCCATTTTGCTTTAGTTAGTTTTCACATAGGGTCTTGCGTTGTTTTGCTCTGGCAAGCCTGGGCCTTGATCTTCCTACTTAGTCCTGTCACATAGATGGAATTACAGATGAACCACTGTACTTGGCTCATTTGTTAAGATGAGGTCTCGCTAACTTTTTACCTCAAACCATGACCCTCCTGATCTCCACCTCCCAAGTACCTGGGATTATTGTTATATACTATGATGCCAGGGAGTTTGTTTTTTAATTCCTTGTCTTACTGCTTACTGGAAAGACAAAAAAAAAATTGAACTTTGAATGTCTGCAGATATCTTTTTGCTGTCCTCACACTTGATTGATAAATTGGCTGACATAAAATTTTAGCTTGCCTAAGAATTTTGAAAACATTGCTCTGTATCTTTGTTATTTATATATGACCAGGTTTGGATTTTAGGCTTTATTTTTTGTTTTGTTTGTTTCTATACTTTGATATTCTCTACCCTTTTCTAGTGCTCTGAAGTTTGATGCTATATAGTTATCTTATGTTTTCTCTCTGATTTCTGTTTTCTTTGTATAAATTCCTTTTATTTGAATGTTGCTACCTCTAAGCCAATCTTCTGATTATTTTTTTCTTTCTTTTTGCCCTGTGTTCTGGGAGATATCCTCAATCTCTCTTTCAACTTCTCTTGAGTTTTTCTGTCTTATTATATCATCTTTAATTTCTAGTAATGTTTTTGTTGCTTTTTTGTCTCGTTTCTGTATTGTGAATACAGTTTGATCATCTCTCCTGAGGTTTTTTTATAAGTAAAGTTTATTGAAGTATAATTTATATACAATAAAAATTCATACTTGTTAGAGTACAGTTTATTTGTTTTACAAGTAACTACCACCACCAAGATGTAGAAGAGTTCTTTGGGAACTTTGACCACCCATAATGTCATAATTTTTATGTGTGGGCTGGTGGGAGTTCTCACAGAGTATCTTCTGCTTTCTTACCTGGAGGGTTTGAGTCTGGTTGCAAACCTTTGTAAGGCAAATGATAGAAGAAGGAAAAGGACCCAACATTTAGCACGTAAAGTTTTGCTTGACCTCCTGTTTTAGAATATGTTCTTTACAACTTCTGTGCCTGGCATTTCCCCTCCCAGAGACTTTGTTTTACATTTTCCATACAGTAAAACTAGTGTTGGCATACCCCTATGTATTCATCCACTTCCGAGCACTTGGAGTGTGAGACCCTATCTCAAAAACAAACCAATGCAAACATTCCAGGCTTTAGTGGAGTGGGGAGCAAGATCCTGAGAATTTAACTGTGCCTTAAATGGACATCCAGGCTGTGCATGTTTTTAGGGTCACCTTCACCCCCACTTCTTGATGTCCTTGATACTGCCACTTCCCAAATCTTGTAGGGATTCTGCCTTTCACCTTTCCCCAATGCTGATTTAGGATATGGTTTTCCCAGTTCTGTTAGGGCAGGTACCACTTTTGCCTTGCAGTTTTATGCCTCTCGAAAGCTAGGTGAACACTCTACTACTTGAGCCACAGCCCCAGGCCTTTTGTTGGTATTTTGTTTTTGAGATAGGTCTCATTAACTTTGCCTAGGCTGGCTTTGAACTTGTGATCCTCTTGCCACTACCTCCCAAGTAGCTGGAATTACAGGCATGCCCCACCACACCCATTAGAAAGTCCCCTTTCTCTATTAAATTGTGGACAAGGCCCTTTGGCTAACTTCTGGCTATTGCTCACTCTGCTACAGCTGGCCTGCAGCCTAAACTCTAGCCACATGTATCTACTTAAGAGAGTGTCAAACGGTGTTTTGTGCCTTTCATTTCTGCACATGCTGTTGTCTCAATTTGTTGTTTGTCCTTTAAGATTCAATTAAGCTTTGCTGATTGTCCAGCTGCCTCTCTGTCAGAGTGCTTATGGGATTATTTACTTTAAAAAAAAAAAACCCACCCTAGAGGTTTCTTAGCCCAAGAATATACAGGTGAAAGGGCTGTGCAGGAGGTGATACAATATTTGAAAATTGTGTGCATTTGTGTACAGAAGAGTTTGAAATGCGCATCTGGAATACCTGTGGAGCTTTTTTTCCCCCCTGTATGCTCTCTGATGTGATTTTTTTTTTTTTAAGTGCAGTTGCTTTGGGCTCTACTGTAGAGGCTTGCTGGGTAGACTCTAAAGTTATGGCTTAGTAAGGTGCATTTTCAGAAAGCTTCCTAGATGATTCTTTAGAACAGGATTTCTAAGCATCATTTATGTTATCTACAGAGCCTTACATATAATAAGTGATAAGTACTTTTTAATGTATAAACAAAGAATGAACGGGAAATGTATCTTTAGGGCTTGACCTAAAATTAATTCCCTGTGTAAAACCAGATTATAAGCGGGGAAATCACTAATCCCCTCTGTATGTAAATGAAGTCATAGCATCTATTTCTCCCACCACCTCCACCTTTGGATGTAATTAGGATAATAAGAGGATGGATTATTTTTTTCAAAAGAAGAAGACAGCTTTGGAGAGCTAGCTGCAAGATTGGGGGAAAAAAAGTTTAAGGGTTAGACATAGGTCAGACCAGATGTGCGTAGTCTGATTTTGGTTCCTCTGATTGCTTAGGGTTTTAGGTTTTTTTCCCCAACATGTGGTCCAAAATATTAAATGTCTGTACATTGAGATGTCATAGATACCACCACTTTATAAACCTGAATTCTCATTTCATTAAAATGGTTAGAGATAGGGAAAGTAGAGAGATTTACATATTGCTTTGGCAAAAACATACAATATTATTTTAACTAGTTGCAACTAAAGAATGAGAATCAGAGCCTCGATTTCCTGGAATGCCCTGCTGTGTGCTTCCTCATTGTTTAGTCTTAAAAGTAGAACTGTGTCCTGGGCTGTACTCGGAAGCCTCTTTTATGCAGCATGGAGCCGTAGATGTGTTGTTGAGTGTACGTTAAAGAAATGACCATGCTCCTTTTATTTTGTGTAGGTGTTCAAAAGATTATGGCATCTGAAACCCACAATGTTAAGAAACGGAACTTCTGTAATAACATTGAGGATCATTGCATTGGTCTTCCTAGAAAAAGGATCCCTAATTTCACTAATAAGAACATGAAGGAGGTGAGTCCATGAATTCTAGGTAATGAGTAAGGAGTTTAAACTACCAGGTCTGTAGATATGCTTAGATTTTTTAAACAATGTGAAGAGAATGATTTTGCTTAATCTCATAAATTTAGTAGATTTAATGGAGCATAACCATTAACATTCCTAAAGCTCTAAAACCTTTTTGGCAAGTGACCATTTTTGTAAGCTATAATTTGATATTTTATCTTTCAAGGGTCTCAGAGATGGTTTTAGCTCATCACTGCAAGGTTCATTAGCACCATGGTAAACTTTAGCTCACTTATTAAGCATACACAAGCGTAGTATATGACTAGTGGTGTGAAAAATAGGGAGAGAGCCCTGTTGTTTTGCCAAACATACCTACCAACAATGCTGTTGTACCTCATGGTTGAGACTCCAGCATTAGGACAGAGAAAACTTAACCAGGAAAAATATGCCTGCTGAGTTTTAGATTTGTTAGTCAGAAAGTTTATGTAACACTACTAAAGAATATAATGGCCTACAAAATCTTACTTTAATTTTTCAGGTTAAGAAATCTCCAAAACAGTTGGCTGCTTACATAAACAGGTAAGAGTTTGTTTAAAGTTTGTGACAAACAGTAAATCTCGAAACATGGGTTAACTTATTGGCAAACAGCTCCTCTGTGCCAGGCTGTGCACTGATAAATATACCAATATTGCCTGTACTCCTTATGTAGTATACTTGGTAGGTGTCATCACCCCAAACAGTCATGAGGAAGCTAATGAAGAGAGGGAACACATGACCGGTCAGGGTCATACAGCTGTAAAGTGCTTAAACTGGTGTTCATTCTCAGACCGCAGACCCTCCCAGCTCTAAAGGCACCTTCTACAAAACTCCGGTTTCAGGTGTAACCTGAGGTTCTGGGGGTGGGTCCCTGGCGTCTTTGAGCATTTGTGAAGTCAAAACTACTTTCATAGTAATACTAAGACGTAAGTCTCCTTCGTTTTCCTTGTCTTGCTCGTGTACAGTAGAGCTTTCCAGAGGTGACCTATCCTTCAATAAGATGAGACTAAATGTAGAAGCAGAAATGAGACTCCAGCTGTCTTCTGCTAAGCCAAATATTAGAATTTTAAAAATGTAAACTCTGCTATTCTTCTATTCTTTTTTTTTTATTGTTCCACAAAATACGGTTGTTTTGGTAAAATATTCTGATAGTAAGTATGTTAACCATCTTTCCTCAGATAAACAACTTATGTGGAGGAGACATTTGTTTTGACTAGGTGTGGTGGAGCATGCCTATAAACCCAGCACTTGGAGGCTGAGGTTGCAGAATTGTGAATCAAGGCCAGCCTATGTTACCTAGGAGGCCTCTGTCTTAAAAAATACATTTATTTATTTATTTATTTATTTATTTATTTATTTATCTATCTATCTATCTATCTATCTATCTATCTATCTATATACCCTGTTTGCTTTGGGCCAGTTAGCAGGGCAATAGATTCTAGTGATGAATAGGTGGTAGACAAAACTGCTCACCTTATGGTGGTAAGGAAGAGAAAGACAGAAAAGAAAAAAGTTCTTGACTCTAATATCCCCTTTAAGAGCACATCCTCAGTGACCTAACTTCCTTTCTCTTGGCCCCACCTCCTGAAGGTTTTAACACCTCGAAGAAGCATCAAAGGCTGGCAACCAAGTAGCACATGTGATCTGAGGGGACACTTAAGATCCAAACCATAACAATGTCTTGAGTTACAAATTAACAAATATTTTAACTTTTTCTCAGATTTAGCTTTTGATATTAGTTGGTATTACCCACATAAACAATTCTCTTGAATCCTCAAAATTTTAATGAGTACAAACCATCCTGACCCTAAGACATTTAGAAACCACTGTACTCTGAGATAAACTTTAAAATATTCAAACTTGCACAATTTATTTGTCACTTTGTTAGAAAAAGATTAACTGTCTCAAAGTGTTACAGTTTTCTTATTCACAAAATTCTGTTCCTTACTAGAATCTACTGCCCGCTAACTGGCCCAAAGCACACAGGTATATTCTGAAAGCATCTAGTTAATTTGGTATAAAGTGTTACATCCTTTATATTACCTTCCACGTAATTTATAGCTTTTATCTTCCTCTTGAAACTAAGAGTTAACATTTTTATTATTCTATTTATCTGTTAAATATTTAAAAGTTCACATTTTTTTAACTGAAGAAAATAAATTCTTTTTACAGAACAGTTGGACAAGCTGTGAAAAGCCCAGATAAACTACGTAAGGTGATCTATCACAGAAAGAAAGTTCATCATCCCTTTCCAAATTCTTGTAACAGAAAAAAGCAGTCCCTTATAAGTGGGGGCTGTGACATGGCAAATAAAGAAAATGAACTAGCTTGTGCAGGACCCCTGTCTGGAAAGTTACCCCATGACAGTCGAACATACTTGGTTAACTCCAGTGAGGCTGGTTCTGCACAGACAGAAAGCTCATCATCGAAATACAGTGGATTTTTTTCTGAAGTAAGTCACATTTCCAAGTCATTTTTAACTTAACTCTATTTCTGTTATACTATTGTTTTTTCTTTGCCTTATGCTCTTAGCAGAATACTTTATCACCAATTGAATACAGATTTACTTGAGTGATAGGAACTCCCTGAGACATTTTTCTAGATTTGCCAAATTTGCATCAGTAGTTTAGCCCATTTCTCTAAGTTAGCAGTATCTAAGATGGAATGAAAAGTCTTACAGGTTGCTATATGTCAGGAATGACAAGTTGACCTGCAGAGATTTAAAGGAAGACAGAAGGAGAAATCTTGCCTAAAGAATGGTCAATGCCACCTGTTCTCCAGGCACACTTTGCGGGGCTCTTTTTGTACAGGCAACCCTGCCTCTGTTCTTCTAACCAAAGCATTTGTATATGTGGACACATGTACATACATTAAGACATTTACTGATACATAGTTTTAGTAGGCAAGACTGCACAGGATCAATCTAAGTAAGTTACGGTATATAAAGACTGGATAGTATGCTGTTTTTAAAAAAGAGTTTGATCTGTATTGACATTGAAATATGTTCCTATATTCACATAGATGAAAAAACAAGATTTTTGAAAGTATAGATAATTTTTAGGGTTTTTTTAGAGTGTTACTATCTATACCTTTGTTTTGAAAATATACGTACTATTCTATTAACTGTAATTACTTCTGGGAAGTGACGTTAGATGTTTTTGTGAGCAAGTAGGAAATACTTGCTTTTTGTCTCACATAATTCTGTGTTAAACTTTTTTTTTTTCTTTTTTGCCGTACTGGGGTTTGAACTCAGGGCTTCACCATTGCTAGGCAGGCACTCTTACTGCTTGAGCCATTCTATCAGCCCTTTTTTTTTTTTTTTTTATTGTTTTATTATTCATATGTGCATACTAGGCTTGGGTCATTTCTCCCCCCTACCCCCACCCCCTCTCTTACCACCCACTCCGTCCCCTCCCTCTCCCCCCACCCCCTCAATACCCAGCATAAACTATTTTGCCCTTATCTCTAATTTTGTTGAAGAGAGAGTATAGGCAATAATAGGAAGGAACAAGTGTTCCTGGTTGAGATAAGGATAGCTATACAGGGAGTTAACTCACATTAATTTCCTGTATGTGTGTGTTGCCTTCTAAGTTAATTCTTTTTGATCTAACCTTTTCTCTAGTTCCTGGTCCCCTTTTCCTATTGGCCTCAGTTGCTTTTAAGGTATCTGCTTTAGTTTCTCTACGTTGAGGGCAACAAATGCTAGCTAATTTTTTAGGTGTCTTACCTATCCTCACCCCTCCCTTGTGTGCTCTCGCTTTTATCATGTGCTCATAGTCCAGTCCCCTTGTTGTGTTTGCCCTTGATCTAATGTCCGCATATGAGGGAGAACATACGATTTTTGGTTTTTTGGGCCAGGCTAACCTCACTCAGAATGATGTTCTCCAATTCCATCCATTTACCAGCGAATGATAACATTTAATTCTTCTTCATGGCTGCATAAAATTCCATTGTGTATAGATACCACATTTTCTTAATCCATTGTCAGTGGTGGGGCATCTTGGCTGTTTCCATAACTTGGCTGTTGTGAATAGTGCCGCAATAAACATGGGTGTGCAGGTGCCTCTGGAGTAACCTGTGTCACAGTCTTTTGGGTATATCCCCAAGAGTGGTATTGCTGGATCAAATGGTAGATCAATGTTTAGTCTATCAGCCCTTTTTGTGATGGTTTTTTCCAAGACCCTGTCTTATGAACTGTTTGGCCAGGGCTGGCTTCAAACCCAGCCCTCCTGGGTAGCTAGGATTACAGGTGTGATCAAACCTCTGCTTCCTGGGTAGCTAGGATTACAGGTGTGAGCCATGGGCACCTGGCTATGTTAAACTTTTTGCAGTAGGAATATATTACCTTTTATACAAATAGATACGTTTACACTATACTATAAAGCACTTGTCACAGAACTGAGTTTTTGTGGTTTCTTCCTCATGCTTTTGAGTTGTTAATAACTATTCTGTATGTTTACTTTTTCCCTTTATGTATGTTTAGAAAATTAATCCTATGAGTCAGCTAAAAGTATTTTATATATTTTTTTAAATGACAGCAAGCAAGTTAAAAAACAGGTGCTATATTTGTTGACAGCATCTGTCTGCTGTGTTCAACTGCAGTATTCTTTTGGAGACCCAGTATAAAGAGACCTCTGCATAATTTACAACTAAGTCTACCAGCCTGTTTTCATTCAAAAAATAGCCTAATGTTTCAGTGTGCTTTTTAACAAATTAGATTATTACTTTTCAGGTTTCTCAGGACCATGAAACAATGGCTCAAGTTTTGTTCAGCAGGAATTTGAGATTGAATGTAGCTTTAACTTTCTGGAGAAAGAGAAGTATAAGTGAGCTTGTAGCTTATTTGGTGAGGTGAGTGTGGCTTTTTATATTCTTTGTTCAACCAGGGTAATTTTCAATGTGATACTGTGCCTTTTTTATTTTTAATGTTTTTATTGACTAAAAATTTAAACTTACTGTATTTAGATTCCATAAGGACACAGTGTAGCTTAAATTATGCTCATCACCAGTCTGAATAACTAGAATACAGAAAACCATCTGCTTTATCAGATTGAGCACAACTGTTACTTTTTCTGATTACAATTCTCTCCTTATCTATAAAGCTAAGCTGTTCTAGTGTGGGAAAACTAATTTGTAAGTCCCATTTGAGTGGGAATTGTAAGCATTACCTTCCTCGTTGTAGTCAAGTCTTTTAGATACTGCCTTAGTGACCACCTAATCTAAAAATCCTTGTTTTGTCACTCACCACCTCCTTTTCTTGTTTCATTTTTTTACATAGCAATTACCATGGACAACCTACTCTGTATATTTTACTTGTTTACTTGTTTATTGTCTGACTCTGACCCACCCCAACCACCTGTACTCAGAAACACCCTAGAAAGCAAGCCCTCTCTTTGTTTTTGCTGTGTCCCCAGCACCTGACTCTTCATAGGTACTGAAATTATTTGTTAAATAGTAAATCTCTTAAAAGCAGAATGGAGGTTATAATATAAAAGGAAATCAGGAATCAGTGCTCTAAGCCATGTCCTTCTTGTGCTCACAGGATAGAAGACCTTGGAGTTGTCGTAGATTGCCTTCCTGTGCTCACCAATAGGTAAAACAGTATTGGTAAAACAGTATTTTTTAGAAAAGAATAAACTTGAAGAAGAGCAAATTGTAACCTGTTCATATTTTAAAACTTAGTATCTTTTAGTTTACAGGAAGAAAAGCAATACATCTCACTTGGCTGCTGTGTGGACTTGTTGCCTCTAGTAAAATCATTACTTAAAAGCAAATTTGAAGAGTAAGTGCTAATTAAATCTCAATTTGTTTTCCTCTTTCAACATTTCTGATTTTGTGCTTTGTGGACACATAGGAGATTAGGCTCCGTGAGACATGTACATGGTTTCTGTGTTGAGGGAGCATAGTATGATTAGGAAAGGAATGTGAGACGGCCAAAGGACAGTTACAGAAGCATCTGTTACCCAGTTCCATAAAGTGCAGTTTTCTGAAGTAGATCATGAAAGTACTGAAATATGTTTTAAAAGGGAAAAGATCGATTTACTTGTATATTTCTGGGGGGAAGAGTATCATCTTTTGTAAAGGCTTCTTAGATAAAAGCACTTGAATTTTGTCTCAAATTGTCATTTCAGATATGTAATAGTTGGTTTGAACTGGCTTCAAGCAGTAATAAAAAGGTGGTGGTCAGAACTGTCATCCAAAGCAGAAGTTATAAATGATGGGTGAGCATAACTAAAGATAATTCATGCTGAAATTTTCTTAGAAAAGCAGCTTATTTAAATGAGATGGTCATTTTATTCCATGGTCATCAGTGTATAATATTTATTCTCTTCATTTTCAGAGATATATTAAGTTGAGATATTATTTATTTGTGAAAAATCACATATGTATCTCTTATTCTGGCAGAACCTTGCTTGCTTATTTTGTTTTGTTTTTTTGAGACCAGGTCTCACTCTGTAGCCCAGACTGGCCTTGAGTTCCACAGTCTTCCTACCTTGGCCTCCTAAGTGCTGGGATTACAGTTATGTGTCACCACACTTAGTTCTGCCCTTCACTATGGAAGGAAGAACATCACATCATTGGTTTGATTTCCACCCTCCCCCCCCATATGCATTATTTGAGAAAGAGATTCTCTTAGTGCACTGAGGAATGGAGGCATCCTGCAGGCTCCTTTGGCTGTCCAGACTTAACTTGAAAGTCTAGTCTGAATTATAGTTCTAAAACTATTGCACTCATCATAATTAGAGTGTTGCCTCATTGTGAAAATGTGTGGGTGTTGTACCAAATGAGCCAGACTGTCGGGAAACCTCAAAAAAGCCTCCCAATCTTATTTCTAGGCTTCCAGAACTTCAAGCTTTATACCCAAGAACAGGTTGTCCATATGCCTAATTGTTTGCTTACCTGCTTTGACAACTAAATAACCTCCAATTTCTGTGATTGACATGTACTACTCTACATACTTACTTGACTTTAAATAATGTATAATTTTCTCCTGGTGATAAATTGAAAATTTTAAAACTGTTTTCATTAAGCTGTATTTACTACCAAAGTCTATATCCTACTATTTGCTTTGTGGTTTTTCTTTTTTTCCCTCTTAGAAATATTAAGATTTTAAGACAACAGTTAAGTGGATTGTGGGAACAGGAAAACCGTCTTACTTTGGTTCCAGGATATACTGGTAATATAGCTAAGGTAATCTATAAGTCAATGTCATATTTATGGATGTTTAAAATCTTGTAGGTATGAGTGTGGTGACCTTATCAGGAAACACAAGAATTAGCCACTGAATATGTTGTGTTATACAGCCGCAGAAATGCTGGGTCAGAGAATATGCAATGACTTACATCTAATCAAAGAAAAATATTTTTAAAAAGAATCCAGACAAGGATAGCACCGGAAAAGGCAGTGACACTCAGGAAGCAAGAAATATAGAACACAGTCAAAGGATTTTAGAGTATTAATGCTTGCTTTGCATTTGCTGATGTCATGCTTTTTGAGAGAGTGAACTGTTAAGTCACAGAAGGGATTTAACATTGATCTCTATTGATATGTTTGTGCCTTTTTAAAGGAAAAGGTACATTGCTAGTTTGGATTTTAATAGTTAAAGTCCAGAAAACACTGGTAGTTATAACTGCAGAAAAAAGTGATTGCTAAGAAACAGGTCCATCCTGACACTGGGCATACTGCTGTCATTAAGCAGGCATCACCCAGAATATGAGAGCATCAACGAGAGCAGTCATGGACTTGGAAAGTTCTTCTTGGATACCTCAAAAAAGGAAACAGGGTGACATTAGCAAGCACTGTGTGTAATTATAGTCTGTAGAATTATTTTCAACTCAACTATGATTATCAGCCCATATTAATTAGATAGATTCCTGGGTCTCTCTGTGACAGAGCATGCATGGCTATAGCATGCTTTGCTCAAATCCACCCTCCTTAACAACTTGTGGATACATACTGATAAAAATTAAATTCCTGTTAGTTATTTGTTGTTTCAGAGTTCTTTGTTGTTTCAGAGTATGCATATCATCTTGCCCTGAAAGGCCTTGTATTCTGGATAGTACAACTGAAAAATGATTGTTTCTTTAAAATTTTGCCTTTAATTTAAATTTTTATGAAGGGAGGAGCTTTATTGTAAACATGGCCTGGAGGTATTATCTTAGCTGATAGAATGGCTCAAGTGGTAGAGCGCCTGTCTAGCAAGAGTGAGGCCCTGAGTGAAACCTCATTACCACCAAAAAAGAAAAACAGAGAGAGATACTATCTTATTACTAAATACTACTGAGTGATTGCAAAGCTAATGAGATGTCACCAGAGCCCACGGTAAAACCTTTGTTACAAGATTAAACCCTCGACTAATTTTTAATTTTTTCAGTTTTACCTAGCACTGATGGAATTTCTGTGAATGTTAACAGTGATAGCAGAGTTGTCTGAGCACAGGAATCAAACCATTCACTCATCACACACCAGCATTTACTTGACTGTGTGCCAGACTCTGTGCAGACAGAAAAGTCAAATAAGGCTTGTCTTTCTCCTTCTTATAAAGGTCACAGAGGGAATCTAAGGCACATCAAGCAGCAAGAAAGAGAAAGGAAAATGGGTTGTGTATGTTTGTATTTTCTATACTGGCTAATGAAATGTTTTTGTTTTATCCTCTAAGGATGTAGATGCTTATTTATTACAGTTGCATTGAGAGATTCCATCTACTAAAGAGCATCTGATTATTCCAAACATCGCTGGACTATATGATTTCTAAAAATAGATCTCTTCTGAGAAATGTGAACTGTGGAAGAAATCAAAACCATTTTTCTTTTAAAAGGCCACATAATGAAACCACTAATGAAACCCTAACAATGTACTTCACATTGAAGTGGAAAAATATCCAGGAAGAGCAGCTCTAACTTGAATGGGTGAAGTGCACTAAGAAGATTGTCGCCTCCGCTGCTTCAGGATTCATATGGTTATTTGATAACATTGTTTCAGAACTACTGGTCTGAATGCAATCCTGCAAAAAAAAATAATAATAATAATTTATATTATGTGAAAAAATAAGACAGGACTTATGACTAGGAACTACAAAGACCAATCATCATTAGTTTTTATTGTGTTTTATAAAAAACACTTACATGTATGCAGCTATTTTCTTATGTTAAAAAGACTTTGAAAACTAAAACCACCATAATGTCATCAATATTAAAATTTTTGTCCACACTGATACTGTGTATACAAAATGCCTTAATTATCAATAAGCCAATGTGTTATGATACCAATATGTTTTTAACAAATTAAAACCAATCATGCTTCTGGCATGGTAAAATCATGGAACTAAATCAGGGGTTTACATTCATGTAGAGCGTTATTGTTGAGACAGATTCCACACCACTTTTTAAACTTGAGAGTGTATATTTAGTATTTCTGATTTTTTTTTTTGCCACAATCTTCATATCATGTATGTATGCGTTATCCCTATATAAAGAAAAAGATGAATATGTATCTGTATGAATGTTTAACTGGAAATGACCATGGCGTTGGCTAATTTATATTCACTTTTTGTACATAAATTTCTAATATTTTTCATTTCTGTATCATTTAAACAGCCTTCATTTGAGTAAATTCACTAAATATTTCTATTTTTTGCTTTTCTAATTCTGATTTTATTTGAATTCTTATTCTTTCTCACTACGTGTGTTTTAAAGTGTTACATGCAGTGTTTAGAATTGTTTACAGTTAGTGCTGACCTTGTGTTTTAAATTCCAACACTTACATTGCTACCTCCTCTAATGGTTAGTATGAAATGCCAGCAAGCTGTATGAAGTCTTTTTTTTTTTTTAAATACCATTTTTGGTGTCAGTGAACCCATATCTAGAATGTCTTAACAGCTCTGATTTCACCTGTCTCGAAACTGACTGGGTTTAATACCACTATTGGGGTTCATCTATCGTCTTAGGATTCCTAAGCCTGACAGGCATCTGATACAGATAAAATCAGATTCTCTAAAGAAGGAAGTCTTTGCATTGGCCCCATTGGTGACTACTGATGTGAGTCTCCAGTGTCTTCCTTGCTGTAGAAATGTTACCTTTCTCTGAATTCTATTTTTGTATACTATGTGCTCCTCACAGTGAGCATCAATTGTAATAACTGGCTCTTAAGTGTTTCAAGCAGCTTAATTCTGGATTACTGCACTTACTTGAGAAGTGAGTTATTTAAGAAGTCATTTTTCAGGATGTGGGAATTTGAATCATAAACCTGAGTCATCTCTGTGAAACCTTAAGGTGATAAAGTACAACCTTTCTTTGTTCTTACTCCTTTAGCTATCACTGTCTTAGTTACAGTTGAGCAAGTTAACTTGGTTGGAGTGTGGTGATCTTGTGGCTGGGGATAGCAACCTGGTCCTTTCCTAACTAAGTTCATCAAGCTCACAGCTACAGATGGCACCTTGCCTCAGGTGTTCACCTCACAGGTGCAGCTGTTGGGCATAAACCCTGACCCTCAAGCACAAAGATAAGTAAAATGATTGGTAATATATTCAAAATAGCTCTAAAATGCTGTATAATTTTTAGTTTTTCAGTATTAAATAATGCTGGGTTAAATTACTGACTACACATCTTTAAAAGTCAAAATTTAATAAGTCAAATATCAGTAAAAATTAGGTACAAATAAAAATGAAAAGTACTAGCTTTCTCTCCATTTTTGGCTGTACTAGGATTTGCACTTGGGCTACACGCTTGCAAAGCAGGTGCTGTACCACTTGAGCCACACCTCCAGTCCATAAGCACTCTGCTTTTAACACTGGTTTCTCTGCTGAAGTTTTGGTTGCTGAAGTGGAGTGACCTAATGCTCATTTTACTTACTTCTTGTTGTATGAGGCAGCATTCTTGGCTCACACAGATTATTCAGCAGCACGCACGCCTGCTTTCTGTTCTTGGCCTTTGCGGTTTATGGTAGTACCTACCTCTCTTAGTTACTGAGTGTGATTAGTATTAGGTGATTTTAAGATTCTTGGATAAAAGATGTTATATATATATTTAATTAGTACAGTGTTGATCTGCAAAACAAGCCAAAGGAAAGGTTTGGGCTGTTGATTGGAACAGTGCTGTCTGCAGTTTCTCTCAGCTGCTGGGCTGCCAGGGAGAGCACAGAGCTGAGCAGTTGCCCATGATCCCTTTGCTTTCTTACTTTTCCTGCCTTCTTAAATGTTCCTTATTTGACCTTGCTAACTTTGCCAGTATAGGGACAAATAGTTTGCTGAGGTGATAGAGGGTTATTTTCAACAATTTGCATTTGCTAGGGATAAAATGCAAGGATTTTGTAATGAATGGTCACCATCAGAATAAAGGCTAAAAGTTAGAAAGTGAGTATTACGGATTTTTAAATTAATTTTGGATAGTAATTTAAAAGACAGTTGGCACCAACAACTTTACATGTGAATCCTGAAATGTGAGAATTAATATGCATTTCAGGGACTCATACATACCAGCACTAAAACCCTAAGGGATGCTGAGGAGCTAAGTGCTAACAACTCTAAACTTACGTGGTACATGTTATGTCCTCATCTTGAATGCGGTTGGTATGGCCTCAGTGCTTTGTATCTGGACTTTAAAACAGTAGTATTGTCAAACTTAGAGCATTTCATATTTTGTAAGTTGATATAATTAACAAGAATGGATTATTAGCTGGAGTGATAATAGCTATTGAATACAGATCACAGAATCACATTTAAGTGCTGACTTAAGTCAGTCAAGAGGTCTGAAAAAACAGCCTTTCATTCATATTTCATCAGTCACTTCCAGTTATCTTCTCATTTAAGAATGAGATGGTACTGTCACTGCCTTTGTTGACTTAAAGAAGAAAAAGTTAGAATCATAAGCAGCTGATTCACCTGGAGTCACCTGTTAGACACACCACATCTTTTCTTTTAATACAGAATTTTATTTTCTAGATTACTTAGCTGGAAATAGAATTGCATGTTGGTAGGTATTTATATTTCTTTCTCCCTTAATTTCTAATTCCTCTAGCCATGAAATTTGTCAGAAAACTTTGTGACACACTATTGCTCCCCTTTTTTATTCTGTAACAGGTATGGAATAAAAAGCTGATCCCTGAACACCACATGCTTTTCATTTAAAGTTTGATTGATTCAGGACTACTATTACCATAGCAACAAAAATAAATACTGCATATTATATACCCCAGTGTACTGAGTACATTTTCCAATGCTGCATTTATAATAATATATTTAAAATACTGTACTCATTACAATGTTCGGTAGGCAAACCATTTACCTAACAGCATATGAAATCAAACTTCAGTACATACAACTACAGGGCCATAGGTGTGGCTCAATAGATAAGAGCACCGCCTAGCAAGCATGAAGACCTGAGTTCAAACCCCAGTGCTGCCAAAAGAATAATCTAACCACAAATAAACATAGTGTATATTACCATATTCTCTTTAACAGACTACAAATAAAACATAGTATATACTTCAGTAACAAAAAGATACAATTGATGTTTGCTGATGTTTTCCTGGAATTTCATGAAAGGTCAACCCCACAGCTGCCATTGTATTTTTCATACCAAAACTTTGAGACACAGAATTACTCTCAGCTAAGTTTTCAGATGGGAGTTGCCAGGTGTCCAGATAAGGATTCAGCCTTCAAATACACTTGAACTAGTGTTGATTCTTAACCTTTAAAGTATTCTATTTTCATTCAGAAAATTTAGTGTAACTTTCCATTTACACCAAAGCTCTAGGAAGAGTTGATCCAAAGTAAGAAGTTACCATGGGAGTCTGGAATCCTGAGTCACCAGAGTCACTCTTACTACATTTATTATTCAAACCTGCAGTGTGAAGCCTGGGTTGCAATTAGACCTCACACCCCAGCAGGAAAGTGTGAGTTAGTGACCGAGGTTACCCTCGATTTAGTCTAAGGACTTGTCATTTCTGCTTTGTCAGACTCCATGTAGTTAGATTGAGTGTAATGACTTAATTCTACACATCCTCAGAATATGAAAGTACTAAAGTTTGCTTTGAAAGTTTCTAATAACCGGCCTGGCACCGCTGGTTCACACCTATAAAGCTAGCTACTTGGGAGGCTGACAACAGCAGGATTGCAGTTCAAGGCCAGCCTGGGCAAATAGTTCACAAAACCCCATCTCCAAAACAACCAGAGCAAAATGGGCTGGATGTATGGCTCACGTGGTAGAGCACCTGCTTTGCAAGTGTGAAGCCCTGAGTTCAAACCTCTGTCCTACTAAAAAAAAAAGTTTCTGATAAATTTTAATATTTAGAAATCTTGTTTTGGTAAAATTGTTTTAGCTATTTTTACACATTTTATCAGTTATTTAATGACATCAGCTTGAAAGTAAAAGCTATAGTAATAGCAATTGACACATGCTTAAGTCAATAATGTTTTAGAATACTAGTTACAGCATGTATTTCTAGTATTTCTTAAGATTTGTGTGAACAAATAGTACACACTTGCAATTTGAACTAAATGAAAATAACATGACTTTTTTGTACCTTTATTAGGTAGTAGGACCTAATAAAATTTTAATGAACATGTTTTCCTACCAAAAATTAATTTCTCATTCAATATTGAGAACAAAATATAGCTAAAATGTAGACTTTTATGTTTCAGTTTGTGTTTTGCATTTTGAGACAGGGTCTTGCTGTGTGCCCAGGCTGGCCTAGAACTCATAATTCTGGAACTTGCAGTTCCATTTCCCAAGTGCTGGGATTATAGGTGTGCACCACTGTGCGCAGTTCACAACTTTTATATTTCAGACTTTTATGTTCTTATTTTATAATCTTAGTCTTCAAGTCACTTCGTAATTATCCCAAGGTTAAAAGGCCAGGCAGGTCACCAGTTTTTTAAAAGATTTTTTTTTTTAGTTTACATTAGTTACATGAAGTAATGGTTTTTGCTGTGATATTTTAATACAGGCACATAGCATTCATTGATATGTTTAGCATTTTGAGAAACTGTCCAACTATGTTCCAAAGTGACTGCACCACCTTACATTCCCACCAGCAGTGTATGGATGGCAGTTCCGCTTTCTCTACATCTTTGCAAACACTTGTTGCTGCCTGTCTCATCACAGCTGTTCTGATGGAAGGGAAGTTTCCCTAACAATAAACGCCGAGCATCTGTTCATGAACTGTTGTTACCGTATTTAGAGAAACGGCCATCCAACTCCTTTGCCTATTTTTGAGTTGGGTTATCATTTTATTGTTGATTTGTAATTACAAGTTCTTCTTTCTGGATACAAGTCCCTTATCAGATGCATGATTTGCTAATCATACATGTCCTTTGAAGCACAAACTTGATTTCGATAAAGCCCAGCTCCTCAGTCTTCTCAGCTCATAAGCACTCATGCCAGGATCTCAAAGACCTATTCCTGGGCTTTCTCCTGAGAGTTACACATTTTAGCTCTTACATTTAGGTCTTTGACTCATTTTGAGTGAAGGAAACTAGTTTCTTAAACTAAATTTATATACAAGTTTTGCATTTAAATGGTATGAAACTTAGTGCTTTTATGTGAATGTTAAAGCAGCAGTTGACCAGTGTGATTTTGAAAAGCTGCATTGTGTCTTTGAAATCAAACACTTAACTAAAAGATTTATAAAA